TGGCTGCTAATCCAAAGGTTGGTGTCGCAGTAGAAAGTCTTGGTAAACTGCTTCTATAAAGATTACAACCAAACTTTTTGAGGTTGGAAATAGAAATATCGTATGGCCTGGCAATCTCTCTACTTGGTATATATTCTCAAGAAGTAAGAGTCATACACGAATAGCTATATGCACGCCCATGTTCACTGCAGCATTTTCTCAGTAGTAAAATGATGGAGACAGCCCAGTCACGCTTCATCAGAGGAGTGGTTGAACAAACTTTGATACATACAGCCAGTGGAATACTATGCAACACTGACAAATAATGATGGATCTGCAAAACACCACTCAACATGGAGGAACCTGGAGGATATCATGTTGAATGAAATTAGTCAGTCACAAAGGGATGGATATTGTCTGAGACCACTGCTATGAAAAGTCAAGAAAAGGTTTTAATTCTATAATAAACTTTCTGGTTTATTCCCACCAGGGGTGGGTGGGAAGGGAGAAATATTCACTGGGTAGAGCGTAGACATGTACTAACTTGAATGATGGGGAAGGCAGTTAAAAAGAAAAGGAAGGAAAAGAAAAGGGGAAAAACATATTACAGCCAAGAAAACCTCTACAGAGCAGCTAGAACCTAGAACCAAGACTTGGAATTAACCCCGTGGCATTTTTTTTTTAATATAGCATTGGTGTTGTTAAGTGCTGTTGAGTTGGTTCTGACTTATATTGATCCTGTAGAGGGTTTCCAAGGCTCTAAATTATCATGGGAACAAAAAGTGTCATCTTTCTCATGTGAAGCAGCTGGCGGGCTCGAACTGTGGACCTTGTGCTTTGCAGGCCAGTACTTATTGTACGGAGCCACCACACTCGCCTTTTATAGTGTTTAGCTGACTAGTGCTAAATTTAACAGACTAGTGCTTGAGACAGAGTTAGGTGTTATTCCAGTTTCTGTGAAGATTCTTAACTTTATGGACTCCGTCTTTGGAGCTGATGTCGGAATCCACGTTTTTTTCCATGAAGAGTGAGCCAGTTTCCCACCACTTGCCAATCAATTCTTTGTTCTTATACGTTGTGAAGCCACCTTTGTATCCACTACAGTATATTGTTGTTCATACATGTTTCTAAGCACTCTTTTTGGTTCCTTTCACCTACAGCCCTGGTGGCATGTAGGAGTAGCACTAGATTGTTAAAAGCAAAGTTGGCAGTTCAAACCCATGAGCTGCTCCTCAGGAGAAATATGAGGCTTTTTTCTGGCGTCAGATTGGTACCCTTGTAACCCCTAACTAGGGTCATTATGAATCAGGATTGACTAGAGGGCAGTGGGTTCTAGTTTTGTTTTATCTGGACTAATTCTTGACCTGCGTGGCGCTGTGGGTTAATGCGCCAGACTGCAAAGCCGTTTGAACTGCAAAGTTGGAGGTTCAAGCTCACTAGCTACTCCTTGGAAACCCTATACAGGGTCGTTATGGGTTGGAACCGACTCGACAATGCTAAACAACAACAATGATAATATACTTTTTAAAATGTGTTTAGTTTTATTATTTTTTTAAAACTTTTTATGGTGAATTGAGTGAAGTTAACAGACAAGATCATCAGCTTTATATTCAACAAATTATAGATTGTTTCATCTCAATAATTATAATCCCCTCCCTACTTCCTTCCTGTGGCTTCCCTTTTTTATCTTATATTTCAAAAATGAACACAGCATAAAAATTTGATGAAAAAAATATATATATATACTCATTTAAATGTCCTAAGGGCATATTCTGCAAGCCAACCTCTTGCCTGAAGGCACACAGGGCTACTCATGGGCCTAGAGTCTACCTCTTGTATCATATACATTTTATTACTGTACTTTGTGGTGTATCTTAACATAGTAGGGAAAATCCCTTCTCTTTGGGCATCTTTTTCAAACTTGTCTTAGCTTTTGATGGACTTTTAGTCTTCTGTAGGAATATTACAAAAATGTTAACATTTTTAAGAAATCCTTTGAATGCAATTGAAATTATGAGTCCAATTTTGATTGGATTCCTGTGTATTCCATGTGGCAAGATCTCCACCACCATTTTTGTTGTGGAAAAAAGATGTTCACAATGAATAAGTCTTTATCTTGTAAAATTTAATCATGGTTCTTATGATTCAATAGTGAGTAATTGTTATCGTGACTAATTGAGACTGTCACAACTGTAAAGGTAGAAATTTTGTAACAAAAAGGGGGTGTGTAGTTAATCTTACAGTCCAGGGACAGTGGACCCTAGGAACATCACGGGAGAAGAGCACAAGCAGAATATGGACCCTATCCAGAGAAAACAGAGACACCAGAGATGGAGGCAGAGCTGAGGACATGGAAAAATAGAGCAGCTGAGGACTCTAGACTCATGGAAAGAGAAAGGCTGTGTGTTGGCAGTCAGTAGGCAGGCTTGCAGAATGTGCCCTTTAGTTGTTTAGATGATTTTATATTCCTGAGTGTTTTTGTGTACATAAAAACAAAAAACAAAACAAAAAAAAACACACCAAAAACTACCCAGAGGGAATAGAAGCAAATACTGTTGAATGATGATGCATGGAGGGGATTGTAATCATTGCAATGAAATGAAATATGATAGGATGAGTGCAAAACTGATGTTCTCTCCCATGTAAACTATCACTCAACTCACAATAAAAGCTTTAAAAAAAAATTCAGTCATGGAATTCTCATCCTCATTTCTGTCATCAAGGCTATATTTCCAATTAGCAATCCTTCCTCTATGTTTCCAACTTTCTAATTATTAACGATTCTTGACTGCATGTTTGATCAAAGGCCTCTTTAAAGTGTTAAAAAGCAACGCTGTTACTTTAATTACTAAGGTGAGACTGGCCATGTATTTGAATTATGACGCTGGCAAATAATATCGGCAGTACCAAGGACTGCCAGAAGAACAAATAAACCTATTTTGGAAAAAGTACAGCGGGAATCCTTAGAACATTGGACATGTTATCAGGAGGGACCAGTCCCTAGAGAAGGACACCATGCTTGGTAAAGTGGAAGGTCAGCCAAACAGAGGAAGACCTTCCATGGATGGACTGACGTAGTCGCAACAATTACGAGGTTGGTGCAGGATCGGGCAGTGTTTTATTCTGTTGTGCAGAGGGTCACTATGAGTCGGAACTGACTTGAGGGCACCTAACAATAACGTACTGACTGACACTTGACAACAACAATGTAACACTGCTGGATTTTCTCATTTGTTAAAATAATCTGATTATTTTAAAATATTTTAAAACAGACTTTCTCTCTAGATGATGCTGTCAATTGCTATAATGACACTGTCTATTTATTGCCTTTTCTTGTCTTATTGCTTTGGTTGGAATAGCTAACGCTAGCTTAACTAGCTGAACTTAAACAAAATGTGAATTCTTGCTCCGCAGACTTAATTACGGAGCATGGTGGCTCCATAGGATAAGCACTGGACAGCTAACCACAAGGTCTGAGGTTTGAGCCCGCCAGCTGCTCCTTGGGAGAAAGAGGAGGCTTTCGGTTCCTGAGAAGCCTTAAATACAATATTCTTACATATTTGAAAAAACAGACACTGATGCACTTGTAAATACACTACTGAATTCAATTGGCTTAATATTTTTTAGGAGTCCTGGTGTGGTGCTGTGGGTTAATGTGCTGGACTGCAAGCTTGGTTTGAACTGCAAGGTCGGCAGTTTAAGCTCCCAGCAGCTCCTCAGGGTCATTATGAGTTGGAAGTGAGTCAATGGTACTTAACAACACAACAATATTTTTTAAGGATGTTTCATATCATAGCTCTGGTAGCGTAGTGGTTACGAATTGGGCTGCAAACCTTAAGGTCAGTGGTTCGAAACTACCAGCCGCTCCGTGGGAGAAAGATGAGGCTTTCTACTCCCGTAAGGATTTACACCCTCGGAAACCCTGTACAGGGTCGCTATGGGTCGGACCCGACTCGACGGCACTTAACAATAACAAAACATATCTTGCCTTGTGGTAAACTTATCTGGTTTGGAAATCAAGATTAAACGAGTCTCATAAAACATGTTGGCCAACTTCCCCTTTTCTCTAGTTTCTGCAGATATTTGTTTAAGAAACAGAATACTTGCTCCCTTAAAATTTGATAAAACTTGCCTGTAAAACTTTCTATGTTGCTAAAAAAAAACAACAAAAACCCCAAACCAGACAGGTAAAAAACCCCCACATTTCTTGATCTCTCAGGAGATTTTTGGTTGGAAAATAACTGAAGTGCTTAGCACCTGGGTCACAGGGGACAGATTCTAATCCCTGGCAGTTCTATGATGGAAGATTTGAAGATAATACAGAGGTCCCAGGAAAGTTCCTCACTCTGTAACCTAAACCTAAAAGGAGGAATAAAGACTCCAATTGTTGATTATAACTAGTTTCCAGAGGCTGGAGAAAATGTTCCTTTTGTCCCTAAAGTACCTCATTTCTATCATTCATTCCTCAATTATTTATTGACTACCTACTGTGTACCAGAAACCAGTGGCAATGGCAAAGGCCCCTAACCCCTCCAATCCCAGAATCTTGGGAAGACTATGAAAATTTACAGAAATTCCCTCTCCCTTTTCCTTCCTCTATCTCTCTCTTTTTTTGACTCTCTTTTTTGAGAGAGAAAAATACAGAATGCAAAATGTCACTACTACGCTACATTTAAAAACAAACAAGCTGAAAGGGAATACACAAAAATGGTAGTTATTTTAGCGTGTGGCATTACGACTAGGCTATATTTTCATTTTCCTGTCTGTAACGCTGCTGTATTTACTTTTAGGATTTCAAATCGAGTGACAAACTAAACGCTGCCCAAATCAACTCAATTACAATGTAAACAATTGCTAGAGCGCTCCGCCCCGCCCATCCGGGTAGATAAGGCTCCGCCTCTCTGATGGCTTCGGTGGCGTCCCAAGACGGTCTTAGGCCCCGCCTACAACCGGGCCCGCCCGCGCAGCCGCAACACAGAGAACCAATCACCATTCGTTTCCGTACGTTTAATCTCTTTGGAGCTTCTGCCCTCAGTCAAAATGACGCTATCACGGAAGTTGCCGAAGCTCTAGAGGTTGCCGAAGCAGGTCCGGAAGCTACCGAGCGAGTCCGGAAGTTGCCGAAAGAGAGCAGCGGGGAAGGAGGATGGCGGATATCATCGTAAGACTCCGAGAGGACGGGATCCAAAAGCGTGTGATACAAGAGGGCCGAGGAGACCTCCCTGACTTTCAGGATGGAACTAAGGTTCGTGTCTACCCTTTTCTCCTTGTTCCCTGTGAGGCGCGGTGCGCATGCGAAGCGGGAGGAGGCCTTAGGCGAGAGGTTGCGCATGCCCAGATAGCGGCGGCCGCTGACCCTACCACTCACATGCGGCGCTCGACGCTGATTGGTGTGGATTTAATTAGGGGGTGAATTCTGATCCGTGTGACCCGCCCTCAGGCTTGGCCATGTGGCCTCATTGGTCGGAGAGGCCGTCAGTCATCACAAACAAGGTGCGGGGCTTTGACCTCAGTGTTTGCGCAGACCCTCCTGCCCGGGAGGAGAGCGTGGGCCGGAAACCAGGGAGCAGGGGGGGGGCCGCGGAGCCTCTGGCTCTCTCCTCTGGGTCTCTGGTTCAAGGTCATTTAGGATTGTAGAGAGTTCTGAGAACATCTCGACCAACTCTCATTATTTACATGGGAAAACTGAAGCCCCAGGGCTGCAAAACTAGAGAGGGGGACAGGGGTCCCGTTTGGCCACTGGGATCCGATTGGCAGCTGTGTAACTCGGGACAGATGTGAGCCTGCAAGTGAAGTTTCCCCACCTCCCTCGACTACATCCGAACCCAAACTCATGGTTCCAACCCCTCCCACAAACCTCCTGTAGTCTTGGACTATCTGATTTTGCGGCCCCTCTGCCCCAGGAGCTGTCCCTGCCGCCATCGGTCTGTAGACTGCCGAGCTTCCCAGGGCCGCCTGTGATTCTGACTCAGCTACCATGTGTAGGGTTTTGGAGGCTGTGAATCCTTAGGAAAGCAGAAAACATCTTTCTCCGGTGGAGCAGCTGGTGGGTTTGAACTGTCAACCATGCTGTTAGCAGTCCCGGACTTACCCTACAACGCCCAAGGAACTACTGGAATGACAGAAAAGTTGCCCTGTTGGATAAGCGCTTGAAATGCTAACCAAAAGGTCGTGCGGTTTGAACCCTCTGGAAGATGCAGAATAAAGAGATGGTGACAGCTTTAGAAGCCCTAAGGGGCAGTCAGCTCTGCCTTGTAAGGTCCTCATGACTCAGAATTGCCTTGATTTGCTTTTGTTTTGGTGAATGACCCATGTGCCTGCCCAGCCCTGTGGCAGGGGTGGGCATGCGGTCTTCCCCTACCTATGCATTCTTGGAGAAGAAACTGGCGTGTGCTTGTCTGCCCAAACTGGACCATCTTGAAGAAAGGAATGGAGCTGGGGACACCAGAGAAAGAGAATATTGTAAGCTTAGTCCCTGAAAATCTGAAAAAAGGCATCCCAGGAACAGGTGTGATGCTGTAGGATAAAGCCCTGGACCACAAACTGTTTGAATCACAAGGTCAGTGGTTCACACTCAACCAGCAGCTCCTTGGAAACCCTATACAGGGTTGCTATGGGCTGGAACCTACTAAACAGCACTTAACAGCAAGAACAGGCATCAAACCAAACCCGATGCCGTTGAATCGATTCCAACTTATATCGACCCTGTTAAATGCCATGGAGTTGGTTCAGACTCATGGGGACCCTGCATAGAGTTTCCAAGAACTGCCGGCCTTTGCTGTCCAGCGCCACGTTAACTCACAGTGCCACACCAGGACTCCAGTGACCCTGTAGAACCGAGTAGAACTGCCGCATAGGGTTTCCAAGATACTCATCTTTAGGGAAGCAGACTGCCGCAGCTTTCTCCTGCAGAGAAGCTGGTGGCTTTGAATCTCAGACCTTTGGGTTACCAGCCGAGCACTTAGTTACTGCACTGTGGAGATGCCTTAAGAGCAGGCCCAGGTGATAGAAGTCACCGATCTACAGTGAGTGCTCGCTATGTGCGGAGCACTGTGCTGAGCGCTTCACAAGTTGATCCCCTGTAATTCCCAGTGTCAGAGAGGTAACCATTTACAGATGAGAACATAGAGGTCAGAGGGACAGCATATGTGGCTGAGAGTGCAGGCCTCTCTGTCCATGTCTTGTGGGGCCTTGTCTCTCTGTGTCGGTTTTCAAGCCATCCCATCCCAGGTCATCTCTTTAGAAGCTCAGAGAGGGCATGGCTTGGCAGGATGGGGGTAGTCTGACTCCCACCACCCTTGAAGGTTTCAAGTGAAAGTAAAAGGATTCCAATCCCCTTCTCAGAGCCAGCATACCTCCTTCCTTTCTCTCCCTTCTGACAGCAAATCCTCAGCAAATAACCAGGATCTCTGACCACTTTTCCCCCACATCCTCCATGACCACTCTGCTTCTGGCCACGGTCACTTCCTGCATTACAGCAACCACCCACTAAACCATCTCTCTGCTCTGCCCGCCCCAGGCCACTCAGCTCTCTCTTATCCCAACTGCTGAACCCAAGTGGGCCCATGCCTTGTCTTTGCTTGTTGCCACTAGGGGGCTCCCTTCTCAATGAGTGGGAAACACTCTCCCGGGGCCTGCAGGTCCTGGTCTCCTTTCTCTCACTCAGGAGTGCCACACTGGCTGCCTTGCTGCTCCTTAAGCCAAACAGGGTCCTACCACTGGAGCTTTTGTGCTTTCTGCATTTTGGCCTAGAAGCTGCACATCCCTCTTTGCACCAGATGCCCGGGTCCCTGTCTCCCTTCAGGTTTCTACCCTCCCTGATGGCTCTGTTTAGACCTGGGTTTCCCATTTCCCTTTCCATCACTGCAGTTTGTGGTTTGACCTTGTAAGAAGGGTCTGGCTTGGGCGCCTGACCTCTTACTTCACAAGAGGATGAAGAATCAAGACAACAACCCAGGCTCATTCCTATGAGTCAGAGGTCAGAGATGCCTCGACACAGCCAACTTTTTTTTTTTTAACCACCAGTTCTGACATCAACTGCCCTTCCCACGACACTTTCTACTTTTCTGCTGAGTTTAGTGATTCATTGCAACGGCTACACAGGCTTTCAGACGTTACGCACGATTCTGGGGCATATTAGGGACGTGTTCTTGTGAGGTGCCCTTGAGTCTGTTAAAATCATAGTGACTCTACGTACAACCGAACGAAACCCTGCCCTATCCTACACCTTCCTCACAATTGCTTTGTTTCAGTCCATTGTTGCAGCCACTGGGTCAGTCCATCTAACTGTGGGTCTTCTCATTGACATTTCCAAGCAGGATGTCCTTCTCCTGATAACGTGTCCAAAGTACAGGAGATGAAGTCTCACCATCTTGCTTTTCAGGATCATTTTGACTATTTCTCCCAAGACAGGTTTGTCCGTTCTTCTGGCAGCCCATGGTATAGTCAATATCCTTTGCTAACATCACAATTCAAAGGCATCAATTCTGTGGTTCTCCTTATTCATGATCTAGCTTTGGCATGCATATGAAGCGACTGAAAGTACCATAGTTTGGGTAAGTCGTACCATAGTCTTCAAAGTGATCTGTTTGCCTTTTAATACTTTAAAGAGATCTTTTGCGTCAGATTTGCCCAGTGAAATACTTTGAGTTCCTGACTGCTGCTTCCATGGACATTGCTTATGGATCCAAATAAAATGAAATCCTAGACAATTTCTATCTTATCTCTGTTTCTCATGATGTTGCTTATTGGTCCAGTTGTGTGGATTTCTGTTTTCTTTATATTGAGGTGCAATTCATATTGAAGGCTGTAGTCGTTGATCTTCACATTAACTGCTTCAAGTCCTTTGACTTTCAGCAAGCCAGACGTGTCTTTTGCATATCCGGGATGTTCATAAGTGTCCCTCCACTTCTGATGTCACATTCTTCTTCACACAGTTTAGCTTCTCAGGTTATTTGACAGCATACAGATGAAATAAGTTCGCTAAAAAGATAACAATCCTGATTCATACCTTTCTTGATGTTAAACCATGCTCTGTTTGAATGGCTGCCTTTTGGTTATGTACAGGTTCTGTATGAGGACAATGAAGTATATTGGAATTCCCATTATTTGCTATGTTATTCATAATTTGTTACGATCCACATAGTAGAATGCCTTTGCACAGTCAATGAAACACACATAAACATCTAGTGCTATTGTTGTTAAGTGTTGTCAGGTGTGTTCCAACTTAGAGCTACTCTGTATAGGGTTTTCTGGTGTGACATTGTAGAATCAACACTGGACTGTGAACCACAAAGTCGGCAGTTCAAACCCACCAGCTGCTCTTTGAAAACCCTATACAGTGTCGCTGTGCAAAGAAATCGACTTGACAGCGCTTAACAACACAGGGTTTCTGAAGCTATAAATCTTTGCAGGAACAGAAAGCCTTATTTTTCTCTCATGGGGCGGCTGGTGGGCTTGAAACGCTGACATTGTGGTTTGCAATCCAGTGCTTATGCTACGGTACCTCCGTATTACTGTAACAGAAATACCACAAGTCGATGGCTTTAACAAGCTGAAATGTATTCTCACGGTTTAGAAGGCTAGAAGTCCAAATTCGAAGTGCTGGCTCTAGGGGAGGTCTTTGTTGGTTCTGAAGAAAGGTCCTTGCCTCCTTTCAGGTCCAGCATTCTGTAGGTCCAGCATTCCTTGGAGCTCTCCAGGCCTCTCAGCATCAGTCTTCTCCTGGATTCGGAGCTTCACGGTTCATGCCCCCAGGTCCAAAGGACTCACTCCGCTCCTGGTAATAGGGCCCTCTTTCTCTGCTCACTTCTGGATCTTTGTAAGGTAAAAGATGTTGCAGGCCACACCCCTGGGAAACTCCTTTACATCTGATCAGGGTTGTGATGGTATTAAGGTGAATCCTCTTATTGGTTTTATCACATCAGATCACATCATGGGGAATCATGAGGATCACATGATAGAATTTTGCAAGACCCGTGACTTCTTCCTAGCAAATACTTTTTTTATACAATGTAAAAGACAGCTTTACACATGGACCTCACTGGATGGAATACACAAATCAAATGGACTACATCTGTGGAAAGAGGTGTTAGAAAAGCTCCATATCATCAGCTCAGACAAGAACAGGGGAGACTGGAACAGACCATCAATTGCTAATAT